ACCATGAAGGTGGCAGTATATTGACATACATGCAGTGTTTACACATTAAGACTGATACAGGCATACAGTATGGGTCAGAAACTAGCAAGTCGGCAATTAATGCAAGAAAAAATAATCCTATTGATTTGTCAGGTTCAGAAATTCACTTGTCTAGCCTCTAAGTCACATGACATCTAATTGCACATGACATCTAATTGCAGTTATTACCAATCATTAAAAGAAAACATGTTGACATGGTTAAAATAATAAATACAACTTTCAACAAAAGTAATCTGTGCTGAAAACATGAAGAATGTTCGAGTTTACCAGTCTGGTAAAACTTAGTGTTAATGAATGGGCAAAAGCTTACTTGACCAAAAAGATACTGCACTGTGTAAAGGTGACACCTTGTTTTTGTAATCTTTACATGATGTCATAGTGGAATATTCACCAAATCCAAAGTCAAATCATTTTGCTGCGACAAGTCAGTTAAATAAGCAGAAGTTTCTGACTTTTAAAAAATTAGCTAACTTGCTGTAATAAAATTCTTAATGTCACAAGATCCTTTTTTTTCTCACTCATGAATTTGAAATAAATATAAAAAATCAACATCATGAATTCGTTCAGATCTACATTAATAATCAGAACCTTGTTTAAGTAAAGTGGATTCATAGTGGAGTTTGTTATGCTGTAAGAGATTCTCATTGTGTACAAGCTTGTGTGTGACATCATGAATATTTGGTTATCAACTCTTGTATTCTGCAAAATGCTGAAGCAAAACATGTCAGTTTCATTAACCTTGTGTATCTTAGCTTGACATGAAGGCTTAAACAATACTCAAACTTACTATTTCACAAATTCGGTATCCAAGTCATAAAGAACTTTATGATTGAGATAAACAAAACATTCTGAAAGAAAAAATCGAATCAAAACTTCACCAATCATGCGAACTAAACGTTTTCAACCAATCATCCAAACTTAATGTTTTCAACCAACTGAATTGCAGCAAACACTAATCTTCAATTAAAATGTTGCATCTATCTTGAAAATTCTTTTAACTGATGTATATAATACATACAATATCTGATAGTGGATTTCTGTCATTTCAAATCATGACTTAAAAGCAATTAAATATTTGATGATATTACTAACCCTAACTTAATGCTTTGAAAAATAACTAAAAGCCATTTCAGTCTAACTGTAGAATAATCAAGCTATATCATATCTCTTCAACCAAGTTTCACATGCTGTAAAACATTTTGATCACTTGCCTCCCTTATATGTATCCTTCAACTGATATGTTTGAACAGGAATGAGATCAGTTGCCTCCCTTATATGTATCCTTCAACTGATATGTTTGAACAGGAATGAGATCAGTTACCTCCCTTGGATTGAGCAATTGATGAAATTTCTGCCTACAGAAGTGTTAAGTAGAAACTAAACATCCTTGTTTCCCAGGATTTGAGCACAAACTGGATCACAAGGTCAATTGATACTTGATACCATCTTGGTCCGTCTTAAAAATTATCACCATGACAACAGATGGCATCTTGCTTAATATACTCAAAATAAAATTCCGCTAGACTAGGCAGGGTTAAGAATGAGCAAATTCTCCTCTTAAGTACTTAACTTCTCAAAATCAGGCTAATTAACTGGTTCTTTGATTAACTGATTTAGCCTTAATTTATAAGTAGAATTATAAAAACATGAAAGTATTCTGCAAAGGTTTAACATTCAACTGGCCCAAATGACATTTTTAGTAGCATCTTTGAGTCAGTGAGCCGATTTGGTTTTAGTTCAATGCATGCCAGTGTTCGCTACAGGGAGCCCACGACAGAAGGTGCGGTTCTGACAAAACCATGAATATTAAATATGAAGCCTAACCATAGGCTTCTTGCAGTTCATAGCGAACTGCCAAGCACAAGACGTGAAGACCTATTGCCATCCTATACTTGTTTAGCAAACTGCATTTCCATATTCTTATTTAAGAGGATGCAGAATTAAAACTTCAAATGTCTGCTTACCACAAAACATTCACGAACGGGATTTGCTTGTAAACTGTTCCTTATTCAATTTGTACCTGAACATTCTGTGGGCTGCTGAATATATAGTTAACTCTAACATTGGGATATGTTGGTGATTGTCAAACATACATCCAAACAGTAATAAAATTCTAAAACATGATTACAACAAGGATTTCACTGGACCTCTGGTATCTGTGAAGATATTAACAATACTGTCTAACAGTCATAACAAGAATAAAATCCAGTATCAAAATATGATATGAAATCACTTAACTCAAATGTGATATGGCACCAGTGGGAAGTTATTTAGAGTGTATCAAATACACGTTAAAAAAAAGACGAGGAATCAAACGCTCTCAATAGAGTGGTTGATTTGCGGCCTTCAAGAATCGTTGTTATTCAGAAACACCTACCCTTTACACTTTGAGTGTTGTGATAAAAATATACATAAATATATACCAAAGACATATTAAAGATGATGTTTTTTTCTATTTATACATGTAGTTTTTCAAAACAAAAATAAAAAATGAAATATCTCAAAGTGATCACTCACCATCAAATGGCAAGCATCCTGGCTACAAGGCACATAGAAATCTCAAGATCATTATTGCTATTTTCATTATTTTGAGGTCTCATTTCACAAAGTATCTATGCTTTGCAATACCTGACGATACAATACTTAATAAACAGGGGTGAAAAGGTACACTCTTACCACTGTAAAGGACGTATAGTGGCACTAGGCCTTTGGTTTGGTTCACATCGGTATATGAGACATGATCGTAATGCAGAAAATTGACAAGAGCTTAACCTTACATTGTTTAAAAAACATGGAAAAAAATAACCATATTCTGTTACTTTGAATGAACAAAACTGTCATTTTATGATTAGATAGAAATGACGGTAGAAAAACTGAAAATACCCAAAAATTTGGATTGCAATACTGTATACTGACCCGAAGGCAAAATACCGGGGTTCTACTAATAACGCAGTATACCATTTCACCCCTAATAAACACCCCAATGATGTCTTGATGTTTTATTGACTGTTTCACACCATTATGCAAGTAGGGCAGATAACTCCCCAGACTAATCTTACTTTACTTCATTTATAAATCAATATTGCTATACGACCAAAACTGGTCAAAATATGATTTTAAGTTGTGTGCTCCTTAACAAATGCTCAGAAGGATATGTCGAATAAAATGATATTTATAACATGATTGCATAAGTTGTAACCAACCAATCATGCAAGCTAACCCAAAACTTTTTAAAAGAAAAAAGTAAAAATTCTCATGATCCATAGGACAGGTTACGGAGGAATGTCCCAAGATGCTGTTGGTTACTGCAACAAAGGCAGCAACTATCAGTTGTTGACATCACTGTCCTCATCCATTTCCTCTCCAGGCTGGCCCTCTTGGAGTGCCATTTGGGATAGAAGCCCTGAGACTGGAGAGAGTGGGGGGTGAACCTGCAGATCGCCTACTGGGCCTGACTGAAGGTGCTGCTCAGGGTGCTGGGTGGGTTCCTGGTTGTCACCCTTTACCAATGTCTGCAAGTTGTCGACAGGTTGTACTCTCCCTTGTTCTGCATCTACAGGCAAAAACAATGGAAACATGTTAATTTAGGACATAAACATGAGTTGCCCCATGTCCAGGTGTTATTGAAAATTTGAAGAACAGGAATTCATTTTTAACCAACGGCCCGACAACGTTAGCTGGAGGTTTCAAATGAAATATTGCCCTGCCTCAAAATACTCAATAACACCCGGAAATTGGCCAACACATGGTGTTTATCGACATTGTTAACACAAAAAGTAAACCAAAATGTCCACCGCAGCGTTTTACTGTCTGCACTCATTGACATCAAATATGGGTACAGCAGTGAAGTGTCATTATTTGTACATATTAACACGCAGTGAATAGTCTTGCAATTTCAGAGAATCGAATACCATTTGATCATGTTTTTCAACCAATCAGATTAAAAGAACGCAGTAACTTTTGGTTTACATTTGGGATTACACTTTCTATGTAAAATACAGACTTCAGTACTTTGAGGGGTTGAATCCCGTCTAGGTCGGTTGAGTACCATGCAGGATTAGAAGCCACACTTACAGAGTGAAGCACCTAATCACCAGCAAAAGCCAGCGATCCAACCCACTCAGCCGCTTTGGCTTCCACAAAAATGGACGTCTGACAACTCGAAGCCATAGTGGCTGAGTGGTTGGGTTGCCAACGTTTTGGTTTGGTATATCATCATGGTTTATACCCAGCGGGCACACAACGTTGAATCAACGTTGAATCAACGTTGAATTTTGGTTGTTTGGTTGATCAACCTTTCATAGACGTTGATTCAACGTTTATCATGCGACCAAAGAAAGTTAGTCGAGATTCGTTTAGTTGTCAACGTTGTTTCAACGTAAGGAACCAACAAAATGTCAACTAATTGTTTCCTTGGCAAATTTGACACATAATTCATATTGGTAATAGGTATCCGCCTTAGCAACTATCCTTTCGGAACATTATTTTCATAAAAGATCAAGATCGAGCTAGTGACAGATATAATCTTATATATTATTTGATTGTGCATCGATCAGCGGACGGAAATATTACGTAAATCGCAGTTTTAGGTATAAAGTCATCAGTTATCAAATTGCATTACATTTGATATTTTCCCACAAAACTGTGAAAATTGTATAATTCCCGACAATTTGCTTTCAAACACAAGCCAGATGTTGACCTTTCGATCGCCTCGTTTGGCCATATCGGACATCGCGCACAATTATCAGTAGCGCAAAGGCAGCTGATCGTTGTCAGTTCACTTTGGCGAAGTTCAGCGCAATATCGTTCTATTTTCACCATCTTCCACGGCAAGCTGGTGTTTATTTGGTAAGTATGTCCTTCATGTATAATGAAAGCATTAGGAATGCCGTTTAAATCTAGCAGTAGCAAGAAACTCGAATTAGGGCTCATGTTTTATCTCACAAGGTTACCAGTATGTCACAGTACATGTTTCTCAAAATTTTGTTTTGTTATTTTTCAATATATTTGCATGCATATATTTGGCATTTTATTATATCATCGAATAAGATTTCCTTCATTACCCATCACCTGATTTGAATTTTGCAAACATACATTTTCAAATAATCAATGAAGTACATCAATATAAGGAACCGTTCATAATTAAATATATGGCTGCGGGTGGGGGTGTTGATTGTAAGGGTTGGAGGGTGGGGTGGGGTGTCACCCATTTTGTTCAGGGGAGCTAAGGGGTCAGCATTTTTGTACACACGCACTATGTTTAGAAATTATGGGAAGGGGAGAGGGCGTCATAGATAATGTACATGACATGCAGGGTGGGCCGTCTCTTATTCTGTACATACTCATACACTTTTTTTGGGGGGGGAGGGTGTGTGTGTGTGTGTGTAATTCACATTGTACATGCGTAAAAATCAACATTACCCCAAAGCCATACATTATGAACGGTCCCTAAGGGCAGCTATACAAAATCGGATAGGATTAATCAACATTTTATATTGCATCCCATTATTATGAACATTTGTTCGTTTGAATAGATCTATCAGTAACTGATGCATTGAGCACGCCCTGAACCCTATCAACATATGGGGGGGGGGTTGGAGAATGGCGTAAGGTAATGCAACGAAAATTTTCACTTTAAAATGTCTTGTGAAAGTCTTTGTTAAGGATGAAATTGTATATAATTTATTTGAACTTTTATCTATTTACAAAAAGTGTAACTTCACTAATGATTCTTTGATGGGACAATTAACAAAACTGCACCCACAGACTTTCATTCTTACACTTGTTTGGAAGGGATATGATAATTCATGTCTCTTAAAGGTTAAAATCTTACATACAAAAGAAGTAATCTTAATGTAAGGAACATTTAATTATGAAATAAGATTATTTTAATGGAATTTGCAGAAATCTCATCTCCGAAGACCGGGTGGCAGCAATTTTGTGGATCACATAAAAGGAGCAAGGCTAAGGTAACACGTTTTTAACATTTCACTTGTTTCCAGTATATCCACCACAAAGTTTAAGAGAAAGATGATAATGCTCTTTCATTACCACCTGTTTTGAATATTTGTGATAATGTTTGCTCTTTTTTGGTGATAATAGTTGGTCTTTATTTTCATTTATATATTAAGGTTGATCATTTAAGAGAAAAAAATGACAATGATTTCTCCCGGAGATGTTTAGTTTAATGAGCACTCCCTTGCTTGGCCATATTGTTTTCGCCGTGTAAACAGCTGGATGCAAGATAGCCTTGCGAGAGGACAGAAGTCATACATTTATAGATATTAGAGATGTTTATTGCTGGGAAACACACTCTTCAGGTATTTAGTCAGCTGTAGAATTTGAATATGATGTTTTTTATTATTGTCAAAGGGTAGGTTTTTCATTATTTGCAATCTAATATGTGTGCAGTGAAACATACTGAGATTTGGAAGAGTGCATTATTTAAAGTACAGGTGTTGTTAGATATCAGCATTTTATGTACATTTTCCCTTTTTAAGATCATCTATCGAGTATATTAGAGAAAAGGTGTATATTTGTAGTGTTTTAAATCAGAGTTATTTTCAGTGTATGACCTACATTTCAATATGTTTTGGCCACCTGTCACCCCTTTGGTCAAATAGAGTAGGACTTCCATTTCTTGGAATTGAGAGTCAGAGATGCACTGTTTCCAAGAATTTGCGTTAGCCAGCGATGTTTGTTCTGAGTACATTTAAGTCTTTTGAGTGTAGATTGGAGTTGTAAGAGATGTTATTCAATGTCTTATTATTCATGGTATGATAGATTATTTCTGGCAATGTAGAGTTTAATCTCATTATTGTATTGTTCATGATTCAGAGAAGCATAGTTATGACGTCATAGATAATACATACACATAATTCATTATATGAGAGATTTTCTAAGCGTTCCTATAAGAGATTAAGTGTAAACATTTATGAATTATAAAAAAGTTATTTATCTGAGTTTTATGAGTGTACAAATGACAAAGAGAGAGAGAGTAGATAATAGAGAATATATTGTATACTTATGAGAGCTCATTATTGTTTTCAGAACTCCATGATCCATACTTCCTTGTGTTTGGGAACAAATGGTGTTGGGAGACCTCCCACAATAGACTTGTTCTTTGACCTGTGAACCACCACCCATTTTGTTTTCTTATCATTTAATGTAAAATGGCTTTTGTTACAATTTATGACTCCTGGTAGCAAAATTGCTACATCAGTTCAACTCCTATTAATTTGAAATAATCATTTCCGAGAATCTCTAAAGAAAACTAAATCTGACAGAATAACAACAATCTTCCATTATTTTGCAGGACGATGTCAAACAATTTGATGTCAAGAATGAATGTTGATGGGCAAAACAGCAAGTTTTCTTTTAAGAGTACAAGGTTGTATTCAATCATCTCTGGTAAGTTAATTACCAAGTGCAGCATTTTCATCATGACCATAGCAAATAATATATGACAGTAAAGCATCGTCTAATTCATCCTACCAGTAATTCATAGTCTAATTAAATAATCAACTTGCAATTGAGGATTTTCTTTGAAAATGTTTAAGAAAACTTCCATTCCTTCGGTTGAAAATATAAATTGTTTACACTTTTCGTCATATTTTGTATTGATGCTGTTCATATGTTCACATGCCAAGTTACAGCAGTGAAATGAACCTTTCAAGTGATTGATTAAACAAATACTTGAATCATTTAAGACAATATATCTTCCATATAACTTATTCATGTATTTAAATATAAAATTTCAGAATGTGTCCTATCTCAAAGGGAATGAGATGGGAATGCATCGAAGCAAATTTCAAGAAAGAGTTAGGAACGTTTCTGAAGTATCCACCTGACCGCCAGGCAGGAGTGGCAGAAAGAAGAGGAGCTGATAATTGTGATTTTGGAGTTGTAATTGTGTTGAAAAATCTGAACTGTGGTATTGAAATTGGTGGCGTAAATGTCACTTTGATGCTATATGCAGATGATATTGTGTTATTAGCACAACAGAGATCACCTACAGACTATGTCATGTGTGATGTTTTACATTATGCATTAAACCACGTTTTCTGTGTGCGTGTGTGTTCATAAAGATTTCATGAAAAGTGACTTGTTTTATGTGCTGTCTTCAGGTATAGTTCCTGGTCATCTTGGATCCCTTTCATGGTGAAAGTAATTGCATTGTGTTTATTCAGGGGTCTGTCTAAGAGCTGAAATTCAGACAAAATGTCTTCTCGGGACAATTTTCACCTTTTCAAGGTAACAATACAACAGTAAATAGTTTTTCTTAATTTGGAATACTCTTTTCTTCTTACTGGAATTATACGTCCAACTGACATAAAACTTAAATGAACATTATATTGAATGTGGAATTTTAACCAAGTATTTTATCAGGTAAATATTTTTACTGCAATTTTCTGTTTGAACACTGTTTATTGCAGGTAGCTTTTTGGGTATTTTAGCTGGATGCAGGAGTTTGGTGCTACTTTATTGTAGTTTAAAGATGAAATGCGAGTCTATTTACAGGAAGCGTAATACCTCCCAGACACAACCACGGAA